TTCCTTCAGGTTCATTAACTTCTTCATACATGCACGTCTAGGTATCCGAGTACTCTTGGCTCTCCCCTCTTCGAGCAATTTGCTCACATGGTCTTCGAAAGTTAGTCTCGGTCTACCTCGACACCTTTTAATATTTACTTTCGCTCTATATATTTTCTTCACCATTCGGTCTTCACTCATTCGTTCAACGTGCCCAAACCATTGGAGTACGCCCCTATCAATTTTTGTGATAAGGTCATCTTTCAATCCTGCCATATTGCGAATCTCTTCGTTTCGCTTTCGGTCGGCTAAGGTAACGCCACACATTTTACGAAGAGATCGCATCTCCACTGCATTCAACTTGCTTTTATGCTTCTTCTGGCATACCCAGGTTTCGCTGCCATATAACAAAGTCGGTACCAACACTGCATTATGTATTGCAAGGCGTGCACTCTTCACCACGCCTTGCCTTTTTACTAATGCATTCAGGGCACCATTGACTTTGTTTCCGGCAGCGACACGCCTATCCACATCTAAATCACATCTTCCATCCCGGCTGAAAGCACTCCCCAAGTATACAATTTCATTTACCTGTTCTAGACATTCCTGATTTACCCATATTTCACATTTCGTTCTCTCTTCGTCCTTTTCAAATACCAGAACCTTAGTTTTATTAGCATTCAAACGGAGACCTTTAATTTCACATTCCTCTTTCATACACGTGACTAATGCCTGCAGTTCTGCTTCTGATGGTGCAATAAGCACTGCATCATCAGCATACAGCAGACAATTAACTTTTATGTCACCCAATTTCACACCCAAACAGCTATTTTTCAGCTTCTGTAAACAGCTGTCGAGATACAGTATGAACAGCCAGGAAGACATGACACAACCCTGTTTTACGCCCGCTTGGACGCTAAACATGGGTGACAGGTCATGCCCTACCCGCACACAGGCTTTACAGTCATAGTAAAGTGACTGCACAGCCCTTAACAATCGACCATCCACATCATATCCCGGCAACAGTTCCCATATTTTCTTCCTTATAACCTTATCAAATGCTTTCTCCAGATCCACAAAAGCACAGAAAATCTTCTGGTTAACACTCAGAAGCTTCTCCGTGATCATGCGGAGAGAAAACATTTGATCCGTGCATCCTCTTCCAGGTCTAAATCCGCATTGTGCCTCCCATAAGAATCTTTCCGATTTCTCTTGCATCCTACGTGTCAAAACCTTCGAGTAAACTTTACTTGCTAAACTGGTCAAGCTGATCGCCCGATAGCACCCGCAGTCAAAATGTGAACCTTTACCTTTATATAAAGGCACAATGACCGCGGATCGCCAATCATCCGGGACATCTCCCGTCCGCCAGCACAAATTGCACAGCAGATGGAAGCTGTCCCAGACGCGAGGCCCACCGTACTTGACCATTTCAGCAGTAACTCTGTCTAGTCCCGCAGCCTTACCACATTTCAAACTTCGAATCGCACGTTCAATCTCTTTCATGCTGATGACCTCAGTATCATCGAGATCCGCGTCTGGCGTGCCAGTCACGGCGTCACCACCGGATCCTTCACTAAGATCATGACACGCATACATTTCTCTATAAAATTCACTCCATCGCTGCATGACGTCCGATTTTTCTGAGAGGACGTCATTGGTTCTCGAAAGCACTTTGTTCATTCTTAAGGCTGTCGCACCACTCCGGGCCTTCCAACCTCTTTCCAGAAGAGTTTGGAGTTTTCCCTAAAGTTGTGCGACAACCTCTCGTCCGCTTCTATTCTACACCTTTCACGTACTTCCTCAATCAATGTTTTCGCATGAACTTTCTGCAGCTTATATCTTTCTTTCATCTTCTCTCTCATATGCTCATCGTTACTAGAGGCCAAGTAGTCTAACCATGCTTTTTTCTTCTTTTTTTACAGCTTCTCTCACTTCATCATTCCACCATGCATCTCTTCTTTTACTACTAACTCTTTTTGTCCTACCACATACTTCTTCCGCTGCACTTACCATTCCATCCCTAAGGTTCTGCCATGTTCTCTCCACACATTCTTTCCTGCCATCGATGGTGTCAAGCTTTTCGGCTACCATAGTGTGATATTTGTCCCTAGTATCCGCTTCCTGAAGCTTCCAGCTTCGGATGCGACAGACCGACTGTGGTTCTGTTACTGCCGTCCGGTAGCGCCAACCCGCGAACAAACCCCTAAATCTAGTAATTACTAGATAATGATCCGTTCCCAGGTCAGCACCCCTGAACACTCGTGTATCCATCACCTGTTTTCGCAGTCGGTCATCCACCAGGAACAAATCAATCATACTTCTCTCATTCTTTCTTTCTCTAGTGTACATATGGATTTTCCTGTGATTAAACATAGTGTTTGTCACAAGAAGACCCTTTTCCTTGCATACAGCCAGTATAAGCTTGCCAGCATCATTAACCCTTTTATCGCCAAACTTTCCAAGCACCGACTCGTATCCTGGACGAGCGATACCTACCCATCCATTCAAATCACAAATTGAACAAATCTAAATAAAAAAAAATATTTTTAAAACAACATGCAAAACCATATGATTGAAGCCTAAGTTAATATAAAAGTAAAAAAAAAAGTAATGTTACAGCCTATATTTCTGAGAGGGTTTTAGGGCAAGGAATTGTCCGCCGCGCTGCCCCAATGCGTGTTGGCGAACTTCACATGTCTTCGAAATATTTTTGTTTCTTATTCCTCAGACATGCAGGTTTCCTCACGATGTTTTCCTTCACCGCCGAGTGCATGGTAAATCAGCACTTAAAAATGCAATTAACAATTACATTGGTGCTGGCAGGGATCGAACCCGGGTTACTCGTGTTCTGTTATATTTACAGCGAGCGTTAACCATCTGTGCTACCACTTAATATAGAGAAAGAGAAAATTGTGTCGATGTTTCCTAACCTAAGTAACCATTTCAAATACGCCATGCAGATAGGTTACACAGTTAACAAAACAAAGAATTAAACACAACCTAACCAAGCGAAAGTACTACACGAAATTCGTAGGCCTAATCCAAAAATCCCCATTTTAGGATTAGCATAGACAGAAAGTCTATGCTAATCCTAAAATGATACAGAACATTAGCGAGCATAAAAATATACAGAACCTAAATGCAAATGCGTGGACTCCTCTGAGCTCCGAGGAGATGACCTCGTCACTAGAGAATGGTACCAGGTCTCGTAGAATCCATCCAAAACGCAAAAATCAATTTTCACAAACTAGAAACAGGAAACTAGCATTGCTAGTGTAAGCTAATTGACTCTTCGCTCACAAACGAAAAATCAAAGTGTAGGTGAATCTACTATTGTAGTACCTACGTAAAATAATGGTAGTTTGTGCATTCATTTATACGTGGTAGAGTGACCTTGCAGCTTTATTATGGTTGTAGTACAAATGAGTTGGCTCGACCGGGTAAGGACCACGCTCTCACAGAATACCAGCCTAAAATAGCAGCTTAATGATGCTGTGTTTTGTATGGTGTGTGTAGAGATCCGGTGACCCTTTTTTACTTGAAACGAGGCATTCCATCTTAGTCCTCTAGGGTGACAACGCATCTGCATTTTGATTCTTAATTGAGGATAAATGTCCATGGGCCACAGCATCCACTTACCATCGGGTGGAACGTGTGCTCGTTTGTCACCCAATGCTATAAAAAAACCTCAGAAGTGGTCCAATATAAATTTGTCAAGATCTGATGATGGGATCCATGAGAAAGTAATCAAACTCTTCAATTTGCAATGGCATAATATGCACGCCATAGTAGAGGTTAATTTTTTTACCACGTTTCTTTTATATAAGAGAAGGCAAACGTGCATGTGGCTCACCTGATGGTATTGATATCTGAAATTGCAGGTATGTTGCCGTGGACGTCTGTATATAGAGTTCTTTGATGTTGTTTTTACTTTTTTTTAAGTTTTAAAACTCACAAATTGTTAATCATTTTAATTGTTATTGCTGTTTTATTACATGGTCGGCTATGAAGGAAAATATCGTTAGGAAACGTGAGTTTTTGTGAATTAGGAAGACGTTGCAGCTGGATTATTTCCTTCTATCGCCTCTTACGATACCCACAGGACGATATAAGGTTGTTGACATTCTTATGGTGCCACTACACGGTAATTACTATAATTCATTGTGATTATGGGGACTAGGGATAAGCCTCATGTAAAACGGTACATAATGCTAGTATCCTGGCCGTTTAATACCCAGCCTACGTTTTCGAAATCTATCGGAAGCTATTTATCTGTGTATAGTGAATATGACAGCTGGTAGACATGGAAGATTTGCCCATACTCTTTACGCAAAGAGCATGAGAGATTGAGAGAATCTTGTTTGACTATCGACACTCAGACGAGTCGGTGAATGCCGACAGTCATTATTTGCAGTGGTTATGCTACTTCCCATTACCAGTCTGTGAACGATCGGTCGCCAAACTCGTCGGTCGATTATCATGGTGCACCGCGTGCAGGTTAGTGACATTTGGAATTGTGGAAGTGGCAAGAGGGAATAAGACAACTTTTCCTCGAGGAAAAGTTTCGAGGAAAAAGTTATCATATTCCCTCTTGCCGTGAAGTGGCGGCGTACGAGAATCCACTTCCTCATATCATCCCGAGGATGTCAAAGAGCCGATAGAGGATAAGTAAAAAAGGAGATGGGTGAATGCGTCTTTCTGATAACAACATGAAATAATTAAAAAAACTTGTTGCCAATCAAGCGTGGCAACTATAGCAAAATAAGACAATTGTGCTATTAGGAAATCTATGGACGAGGCCTGTTTTCAGCAGTGGAATTTGGTTAGGATGTAATGAATAAAATGATGAACCTAAATGGAATCCTTTTTACACCCTCCTGAAGTTCAAAATAAATACTGGCTTTATACAATAGTATCTGTTGACGTATATCAATCAAAATTAAAAAAATAGCAGCGTGACGTTTTATCGAGTCACATCCCACAGCGCACTATTATTGATATTATCTTTCGTTCAGCCATTGCACGGCGATACGGTATACGTCCAGTTGTCCATTACCGCGCGTGAGCTGTTCGATTACATCGGTAGCGGTGGAGGGGTGACCACGCCGCCCAAGGTCGTCAGCTGTCGGGCCGCGGCGTCGCGCGCCTCCGCCCACCCCATGCAGCCCGGACCACTCGCCGCTCTAGAGCCGCAGAAAACGCGCGCCCTGACCACCATCTATGCTCCGCGTAAAAGTAAATCAAGGAAAAACAGAACAGCACAAAACAGAATGTTAGACAGCGATATGCCGGTAAAAACCACAGTTTCTCCTTTCCGTCCTCTCTCTGCCATTGTACAGAAACAGAAAACGTTGGAACCGAAGGCCAAAGTTATTGTTTTCGATTTGAACCGTGATGACAACACAATTGAAAAACAGGCGCTAAAGTTGCAAGAAGTATTGAAACCATTGACTCCTTTAAGTATTCACGGATTTCAGAGGAAGAATTCCCTTCATTACTTCGAAAGAAGACATCATCGACTATTAAGGGAGAACACTTACGACGTAATAGAACCAGTTTATTTAAACACAACGAGGAAAGGAGAAGTGGAGTATACGTTAAAATCGAGCGGTGATTCGATGGAGCAGCCAAAATTGTCACCGAAGTCAAGGTTTAAAAGGGCGGCGATACACGTGGCCAAACTCTCTTCTACGCCAGAGACGGGAAAATTACTATGCATGAGGGAAAAGGAAAGACTCACTTTTTGCTTGGATGAGGAGAAATCTTGTAAACTTCAAGAGCTGCCCCAAAGTCCCGCGCAGAAGATAAATAAGCTTTCTGAAATTTTCCAAAGACTAGAGATGAAAGGCCGACACAGAGACAAAATGAAAAAGGAAAACAGTTGGTTTTAGCCATAGGATAGATTGACAACAGTAATACGAATTTATGATACAAAGATAAAACATGAAAAGCTAAGCAGACATGATATATTAATTGTTAAAACATTTAAGTGTTAACTTAAAATAAAAAAGAGTTTTATTCCCATTGCTCAAGGTTTACGTGTGTTGTGTTCTTAATAAAAGTGAATTTTTTAACACTTTTTTATTTTAAAATACAACTAGCATTGAAAAATTAAAAACTCAGTGACGACGGTCACTTTTAATAATACTGCCGAAAATTGTCAACTGCACAGGTAGGTAAGTATAATGCTAACTCTTGATTGACTGCCTCGTTAGTTTAGTGAACGTTAGCACGATGGCTGATTTCGTGTTCCTAGGGTCAGAAGTCAGGCCATCAGTTATTGTATTTTTTGTTAAGAAATTTGGATGGTTAAGAACCGTGCCTCGGAAAGCACGTGAAGCTGTACACCTGATCTCTCTCCGGTGTCAGATTGCGGTCTCATCCATATGAGATATGAGAGTGAGGGAATGGAGAATCAACCTGTGCTCGCCTATTATCTTGTCCTGCATAGATGCCTAGTCGCCGTTGAAATTCGGTCCAGAGGACGTTGCAATGCCGAAAATCTAGGTATGAACGTAGAAACATAGGATAAGATCGGAAGTAAGCTTTTACTTCTGCTCCCTGTTATGTTCGAATTCTGAAAATTAGGAAAATCAACGATTTTCTAAGTTTCTTTTCAGCTAAGCAAAAAAATTTAATGTTTTTTGTTTGATGTAAATGGTTTTGAAGTTATAAGAATTTAACTATATGAGAACTTAAACATCCCTATACCACATGAGTAAAGAAACCGCCCTTAACACATGTGCCTATATCAAGTACAAAGTTCTTGATGAGATGAGTTCTTGATTATGATATTTATATTGTTACTTTTGTTATCAACATGAAACGAAATAAAAATAAAATTTGCATTGTGATTTATATTTTTTGTTAGTCCTCCAAAGTTCTTAGTTTGAGTTACGATACGATTACGATAGTCTTCGGCCGAAACTTACATTCAGTCGTTACACGTAAAGCTACTTCTTACCTATTCACTATAAAACATGAAACTGAACGTAATATTATATCAAACATTAAATAGTCTGTGGTATACTCGAGAATAAACAACGCCTTGACCTTGAAGTGGTGAGTCAACAGGTGTTGGTTCGCGTGACTGCTGACCGCAAGGATGGGGGTGAAAGAGTAACAGAAAATAACTAATGGTAATAAAATTATCGATTCTTGGTGCTGCTTACAAATTATTCATTAACTACTTATAATTCTAACTAAGTGGTAGGACTTGTTTTCTACCTAGTATTCTAAACGGAATTGCGGGATAGAAAAAGAAAAATTTTACACAATATGGATTATAAACAATACTTATTGGAAAATATTTTTAATTCATTACTGGTTCGATAGAAACAGGTTTGCAATTAGTAGGTACGTATTATGTCGTACAATTTTTAATTGGATAGATCTACCGCAAAGCAAAAGTCCATCAAGCGGGCTTAGAGCTTTTTTTTTATTTTTTATTTTAATAGCCTCGCGAGTCATGCTTGGAAATAATCGATGTTCTTTAGCGGGAATTTGTGGGATATCAAATCTCAGATCTGAGTGAGATTCAGATTCTGACTCACAAATAAAAAAACTCCTAATTTCAAAAGGGAAGCAGCACAACAGCCTATATACATCCCACTGCCAGGCACAGGCCTCTTCTCATTTTTGAGAGGGTTTTAGTCCAAGGAAATATACGCCACGCTACCCCAATGCGTGTTGGCGAACTTCACATGTCTTCGAATTATATTTGTTTTTCAATTTCATTGGTGCCGGCGGGGATCGAAGCCGGGTTGCTCGCGTACTGTGAAATTTACAGCGAGCACTTAGCTTCTGAGCTGCCACGGCTCAAAGTAGACATGATGACAAGTTTGTTATATGTATATATAGGTAAATGGTGTTGTAGGTATTTTTAATTTTGATCTAACTGTGCCCGGCATACGTAGCAATGCAATTATTTTTTAGTTTTATTGATTTAGCACGTCGCTAAGGGATAATGACACAATAATGAAACACGCAGCACTGAAAGTCAAAGTTTAAGTTATAGACTATATACATCCCACTCCAGGGCACAGGCCTCCGCTCATTTCTGAGAGGGTTTTAGGGCAAGGAATTATCCGCCGCGCTACCCCAATGCGTGTTGGCGAATTTCACATGTCTTTCAAATATATATTTTGTTTTATTTCCCAGACATGCAGGTTTTCTCACGATGTATTCCTTCACCGCCGAGCACGTGGTAAATCAGTACTTAAAATTGCAATTGTTCATTGGTGCCGGTGGGGATCGAACCCGGTCAGTCAGTTTCTATTCAGAATCAATATAATATAATTCAGATCCAAAACGAGAAAAACACTTTAATCGTGTATATCCATTGATAGTGCAGTATTAAAACAGACTTGCATGCCCTACTGGTTTAATACATTCCATCAGTCATTCCATCAGTTTAAAGTTTAAACGGACCCACACGCTATCTGTCCACATCGACTGCACTCTTTACATAACCCAGTTCTAGTAGTTTACACGTAAAATTACCTTGCACCTGCGTGTAAAGAAAATTAAACATAGGGGAGCAACGTCGATATCCTATAATTCTTAATTTTTATTTATTAACTAGCTTTTTACCCGCCGGCTTCGCTTGGGCTTTAGTTTAGAAACATCGATAGTACTATTTCGTACTAAAATTAGCAAAACTGATCCCTTGTAGAGAAACGTCGGTATCTGTGTCTATATTAACAATATTATAGGCTACAGAAACACATAAGTTAGTTTATCAAAATCGCTTAAATGTAAAAAAAAAACCTTAAATCCAGCAACACTTTTGTATATCGGGCACGTCTTCCGATGTGTCTTTATGAAGGGAAAATTGACTTGGAAACGGAAATGCGTTATTTACTTAATATTCATTATTAAAGTTGATATGGTTTTGATAAAATAAGGTTTAATTTCATAGTCTGTATTAATATTGGTCCCTATGAACATCACATTAGCAACAACATTAGCACCACATGACAGTATTTTTTACGTCCGATTAGACTTCAAATTTTCATAAATGTAGTTCTATTCACAGTGAACGTGTGAGAAGAACTAAATTCATAAATAGGAGTAGAAATCTACATAACATCAAACATCAAACAACAGCAGCGTCTTCCTGATTATAACTCAAAATAATAAAAACATGCAGTTGGCAACTCGCATGCAAAACGTGGCAAATATGGCATATCCAACTAATTTGACAGTCTATGGAGGAAATCCAATTGATGAACGGGAGTAGCAATAATATATTATCAATGTAGAGGGGGCGAAAAAGAAACCACTATCCCATTTCGTCCCGTGGGTGTCCTAAGAGGCGACAGAGTGAAACTGAAACAGGAGATGGGTAGCATCTTCTTGATAACAGCGCAAAGTAACAAAGGGCTGCAGTCGCCAACCCGCTTGCCAAGCTTGAATACTACTGCAAATACCTGGTCTATTTGACAAACAATGGGGGAAGCCTATGATCAGCAGTGAATAGCCCTATTAAAAGTAAAAAAGTAGCAGCCTAAATACATCCCACTACTGGGCACAGGCCGCAGCGAGTTTTAGGTCAAAAAGAAGTTAATTAAGTTGACTCCAACGCGGAATGACCAACTTCACATACCTATACCTAAAAATAATTTCCGAAACATTACTAACATCTCATATATGTAGGTTTCCTGCGATGTTTTTCTTCACCACCGAGAACGTGATAAATCGAAACTTCAAATTGCAGTTAAAATATGAGTGGAGTCGGCGCGGATCTAATTTGAGTTGCTTACGTACCAACTATGAAATTTACGTTTAGATCGGTTTGATTACCAGCTTATACAGATGACTTTCAAGACTCTATCAATGCAGTTCCACTCAATACTCATAGTTAAAATTAAACAGAAACAGAAACAGAAACTTTTTTATTCAATGTAGATTATAATAATACTTATTGAAAGTCACTTTTTTCATTTACCACTGGTTCGCAAAAAAAAACCTCTGTCCTGGGAAGAACCAGCAAGAAACACAGCGGGACTATTTTTTTTCCAATAATAGCTTACAATAATGCTTACAATTAACAACACAAGACAAATAAGAAATAGCTTGGTAGCGATCACCCTTCCCAGGGGTTATTATCATCAATAAATTCCTTAATATTATAATAACCCTTTTTATACAAACTTAACATTTTTGAACTTTGTGTATGACAAATTTTGTATATTTTCTGGGATTTTGTTGTAAAAGCGTATACATCGCCCCAAGAATGAATTACTGACTCGGTGGAGTCGAGTAACTGGTACTACTAGCTTGTGTCTGTTCCTAGTATTTACAGAATGAATATCACTTATTTTCGTAAAGCATTTTTATAATTGTATTGAGAGGCCAGAGTTAATATATTAATTTCCTTAAATTTTTGTCTCAGTGACTCTTTTGGTTTTAAATTATATATTGCTCTAATGGCCCTCTTCTGTAAAATATCATTGTATTCTCTTTCAGTGTCAGTCACGTTTCCCCATAGCAAAATATCATACGACATAATGCTGTGGAAATAACTAAAGTAAACTATTCTAGCTGTTTCAACACTGGTAAGAGTTCTAATCTTTTTTACAGCATATGCTGCAGAACTAAGTCTGCTAGCTAGTTTTGATATATGGGGGAGCCATTGAAGCTTTGCGTCCAGTGTGATTCCAAGAAAAATGGTGGTATCAACAAGACTGAGTTCCTGCCCATTTAAAATTTAAGCCGCGGGATCGTCGGCGGCGTACTCCCCCCGTCATCGAGAGTCGAGTTGGACGCAAAGAAAGAGCCTAGCAGATCGGCTTTCTTCTTTGCGGTATGGGCCAGTCACTGGTCCTCCCTGTGCAGAGTTGGAAGAAATGGCTGACAGAAATTCCCCTAGACAGCCTTGGAGACCAGA